AAGCTCCAAAGGGTTAAGGAACTTTACTTTAGGTTGGTTCCAGGCATCTAATTTAGATCACACCAAGTAGATCCTCAGAGATGTGATTCTTCTCAAATTGAAAATCTTCCTTCCAATTTCCATCAAATCCGATATGGAATAAATGGCATGAACTGCCAGAGGAAGTAATGGAGTATGGAACAATTACAGAATTTAAAAGGCATCAGAATGGGTACATGAATACGAAAGGTTTAGGGGGATATGGGCCAAATGCTAGTTAATGGGACTAGATCAAATTGGGATGTCTAGTTAGCATGGATGAGTTGGCCTGAAGCTTCTGTTTCCATACTGTATGGCTGTATGGTGGATAGATGTCCTGAGGACATGCTTTGACATTGTAGAATTTAATAGCAGAAGTGGAAAATGAGGTGTTGTTCCTCAAGATGGGTGGCAGAATCAGAGGATAAATCTGGTGAGGCCCATCTTTACATTGAGATCAACTCGCACTGTCGTTCGTACTTTTCACAAGTAGCGTGGGGAGATTCTCACCGGGCAGTAGCAAACTGATATTGATTTAAGGCCTGTTAATATCCATGTTGACAGCTCAATGTGCCTTATTAATATTCTAGTTGTGATCTGACCAAGTGTGCCCAACAAACAAGCCATTGGGAAACCCAATGGAAACAGAGCAGGTGCTTTGTGTGCTCAGCTCACCACCTCCTCTGAACAACCTGCAGAGCAGGGCATGATTTACGTGCATTGGCCATATGTACCCTTCCAGATTTTTGAACAATAAAGGAATTAAGGGTCCTGGTGAGTGGATGGGGAAATGGAGCTGAGTCCTTAAAAAAATCAGCCATGATCTCGTTAAATAGCAGAGCAGGTTTGAGGGACCAGATGGCCTACTTCTGCCCCAATTTCTTATGTTCTTATGACAGGACCAAATCTTATTGCATCCACAGTCTGATATTGTTAGCACTGACTTGAAGGCAGTCCAGAAAGTTTAAAACCAGAACAGACTGTTCTAACGGTGGCACCACCAGTGGTATATCTGCCAGCAGGAGACAGCTTAAGGCCTACGCATTAGCTACTTGGCTGCCCAGACAGTGTTCCAACTTGTAATTGTACACACTTAGAATGAAAGCCCACTGCTTAATTTGACCTGAAGCTAAGGGCAGCATGGTCATGTCCTCTTTCAGTAGTCCTAGCAGGGGTTTCTGGTCTATCACTATTACAATTTTATATCTGTAAAGGCATTGGTGGAACTTACTCACTCCAAAAATGACCACCAAACCTTCCTTCTCTATCTTTCCGTATTTGCCTTCTGCATCAGTCATAGTCTGGGATGCATATCCAATTGGAGATGCCTCTCCATTGGGCCACCTGTGAGCCAATACTACCCAGATACCATACAGGGAGACATCACGTGTCAGCACTAGACTGAGCTTTGGATCATAGTGTGTTTAGATGACAATAGCTGCTTCTTCGCTTTCCTAAAGGTTATGTCTTGGCTATAAGACCATTCCCAAATCTGACCCTTTCTCAGTAGCTGATATAAGGGTACCAGGATGGAGACCAGGTTACCTATGAACCTTCTATAATAATTCACCAACCCAAGGAAAGACCTAGGCTCCAGTACAGACATGGGAACCAGTCACCTTTGATTGCCCTCACTTTTTCTTCCACCATGTGTAATGCAGTCGTGTTGACTCTGTAGGCCAAGTAGGTCATTTGGGGTGCCAGCAGCACACATATTTCCCTTCTAAGGTGTTTGTCTGCCTAGGAAATATGTTTAAGCCCAATGTCTGAGTTCTCTAAGCGCTCTTTATTGGTATTCCTGTTGGGAGCAATTCATCCAGATAAATGGCGACCTTGGGTAGACTTTGTAAAATGTTCTCCATCTTCGTAGTAGGATAATATGTTCTCCACTGATCTTAGTAGGATAATAGGTTGCCACAACATTGTGGGCCGAAGGGCCTGTACTGTGCTGTACTATTCTATGTTCTAAGTTCTAAGTTCTGCTGAAAAATGGCACAAGCTGATGATACCCCAAATGGCAGTCTCATATACTGGTACAAATCCTTATAGGTATTAATTATTATACTTCTGGGAATCCTCATCTAACCACAATTGCAAGTATGCATGGCTCATGTCTAGCTTTGTGAAGGACAATTCCCCCACCAGCTTTGCATATAAGTCCTCTATGCAAGGGATTGGGTATTTATCCAGCTGCAATAAGCAGTTTACCATTTGTTTAAAATTCCACAAAGGCAAACCAACCCAGCGGGCTTCACAATTGGTATGACTGGTATTGCCCATTCTGCAAACTGTACTGGTTTGATGACTCCTTCATTTTCCAGCTTCCTGATTCTTGCCTCTACTTTTGCACATACAGCAAATGGCACTGGGCAGGCCCTGCAGAATCGTGGAATTGCTTCCTGGTCAACATGTAAGGTGACCTTGTCTCCTTTGATAGTCCCTAGACCTTCCTGAAAATCTTCTGGGTATTTAATTAGGACCTCATTCAGGGAGCCATTTTCTAATTGAAAAATGTTGAGCCAATCAAGGTGTGTCTCTCTCAACCAATGTCAGCTGATCAGGCTCGGGCCCCAGCCTTTTACAATAACTAGAGGTAATTGAACCAGCTGCTTCTCCTACGAGGCCAGAACCAAAGTCATACCCTTAATTTGTAAAGGTTCCCTGGTATATGTTCTCACTCTAGCCAATGTCTAATGTAAACTTAAGAGTTGGAGTCTACAGCGAATTTTGTTAAAGACTGGATCAGCAGTCACTGATACAGCTGTGGCAGTGTCAACCTCCATTAGAACCAGGTGACCATTTAACCATTTATCTTGATTGGTTCTGATTTGGATGCTGTGAAGCAATTTAACTGTCCAAGTAGGTGGGTTTTCCAGGGTGTGTATTCTCCTGGATACTGGCCTATGAGTAATCTTACTTCATTTACGTCTAGTGGGATTCTTTGGCTGTCTACAATGGCTTGCCAGCCTGGATCCTGAAGAAAATATTAACTGTTTGGCCAAGGCTTGGCTTTGTTTTGGGGCTTTGCTGTGGGCTGCCCTACAGGATATGTCCTGACTGAGGCTATGCAATTGCCTTCATTCAAGGAGTGTCCCTGAAGCTCAGTCGGCCTGGCGAGGGTGTCCACTTCCATCAGCTTATCCTGTAACTCTTATGCTCCAACTGCTGCATTTTCCAATGATAAAACCAGTTGTAGTGCCTGTTTGAAGACCAGTTGAGCTTCAGCTAATAAGCACTTTTGCATGGTAACATCATTAATTCCACGTACCAAATGGTCTCTCGGTATCTCATTAAGGGTTAAACCAAAGTCACATGCCTCTCCCTGCAGTCTTAACCTTGTCAAAAATGCAGACACAGATTCCCCTGATTATAAAATTGCTAATATCAGAATGAGAGAAGGCTTAGGATTGTAATATTCCTTCGCTAAAGCCATGAACTCTTGAAAGATTTTAGTATCTAGCACCTCAGGGTAAGTTAAGCAGCTAATAATCGATAAAGCTGTGGGTTCACAAGCTGTCAGGAGAATTAGTCATTTCTTTTCATCTGTCTGATGTTATTTGCCTGAAAAAAATAGCACATTCTTTCCTCCTACTGATCCCAGTTTTTGATGGCAGAATCAAGCGAGTCGAGCTTCCCAAATAACCTCATGATACTAGAAATGCTTAGCCCAACTCAAAGTCAACTGTCGCGAGCAAGTTTCTTCAGGCATTTTTTTTTCTCTCATCATCACCGAAATAACTCTGCAGACGCAGGTATCCCATCACCAAGTCACCCTTTATTTACATGTGAAGACGCCTTGGCACTAGTCCAGCTCCCTCAGAGCCAGCTCTCAGAGTGTTGGGGTGTGTGTCGGTGTTGGCGAGAGGGTGTGTGTGTCAGAGAGTATGTCTGCGAGAGAGTGAATGTGTGTTTGTGTGAATGCAAAAGGATGTGTATTTGTGTATCTGTAAGACTGTGTGTGTGTGTGAGAGAGACAGAGAGAGAGCGTGTGTGTGTTTGTTTTTGTTTATTTGTGCAAGAGGATGTATGTGTTTGATTCAGAGTCTTTGTGTTTGAGAGAGCATGTGTGTATTTGTGTGTGGGAGAGGATGTGTGTGTGTGTGTGTGTGTGTGTGTGTGTGTGAGAGAGAGAGAGAGACAGGGAGTGTGTATGTGCGTGTGTGTGAGAAACGGTCTGTTTGTGTATTTGTGTCTGTGTGTGTGCATGAGAGAGTGTGCAAGACAATGTGTATGTGTGGTTGTGAGGGATGTGTATATGTGGTTGTGAAATTGGTTGTGTGTGTGTGAGAGAGAGAGAGACTGTGTGTGTGGGCTAGATGATGTGTGTGTATGGGGGCTAGAGAATGTGTATGTGTGCAAAAGGATGTGTATGTAAAAATGTACATGAGAGAATGTGTGTATGTGTCTGTGTTTGTATGTGTGAGAGGATGTGTGTGTGTGAGAGAGACAGTCTGTGTCTGTGAGAGAGACCTTGTATGAGTTTGTGAGTGTGTGAGAGAATGTGTGCTTATGTGAAAGAGAGCATATGTGAGTGTGTGTATGTTTGTATGTGTGAGAAAGGATGTGTGTATGTGTGTGACAGAGTGTGAGTGAAAGAGTGTGTGTGTGTGAGAGAGAGCATGTGTCAGTATATAGCTGTGTTTATGTGTGTATATATGTGACAGTGTGTGTTTCTGTGTGCAAGAGAATGTATGTGTATATATGAGAGAGTATGTCTGTGCAAAAGAGGATAAATGTGTGTTTGTGACAGTCGTGTGTGTGTGCGTGCAAGAGGGTATGTGTGAGTGAGAGGAAATATGTGTGAGAGAGACTGTGTGTTTGTTTGATCAGCTTGACTGAAGTGCACAGGTATTCAGTTCAGAACAGGTTTATCAAACAAGTGTCATGATATCCAGCAGCAGTGGCAATATGAAGGTATTAATTAAAGTTTGAATCATATGATTAAAAAAAGCTTGGTTAGAACTGATCTCGTAGAAATTTCATCATGTTACAGAAAGACACACATATGAAAGAAACACGTCTATTTCATTCTTAATAATAATTCTCATAGGATGTATATTGTGAGGAAGGTAATGTGCTATCGTCATCTCCCAGGCATCCACAAATACCACATTGAGGCCTGTGAACATCTTCCTCATCACTGAATCAATTTGATATGCGTACCAGTCACTGTAATAGGTAATGATCTGTGGGGGGTTTTCCCGCACATTGGCCGTCTTTATTACAACCAGTGTATCCGGATTCCTGTCGAGTAGCTGTAAAATTGACCTCCTGACATTCTGTATTCTCCGAATGTAGACTTCGACAGGAAAAGGGGTGAAATGGGCCGTTAAGGTAATGGCTATAACTGTGTTTCCTCCTCCTCTAATTTCATCCAGTACATTTGAAACATAACGCAGATGTCTTGGGAAGGTGCGGAATTGGATGGGAAGACCATGAGGGCGATATTGTACCACAATGTTGTTCTCCACGTTCACTGCAAGATGAGGACCAATCTTGATAGGATTACCAAGATCCAACATCTTAAGACCTAAAAGACAAAAAGTAGAATCATTTGACTTTCTTAGCCACAATATTGCTGATGTTAACTAATTTGGAAATGGAGGGCTCTCTATTGCAAACAGCAGATCTCAAAATTTGTCTGCAGATTTTCCAGTCTGCTATTGTAATGAATGAATTACAAACATAAAGTGTATAGTGGTGTCATGTAGCAAACACAGATAAGCTGAGAAATAAGTACATACCTCCCATATCTCATTAATTTGCTTTCAGCTATTATATGTCTTCCCCTTAAGCTGATGTGCCATTCTTCAATGAAGAGGTAGCCAGACTGCTGACCTGTTCCCAGTGCTCTGCTGACTTCACAGTAACAAGTTAACAGTGTCACATGTTTTTTCATGTTCCCAATAAAGAAATACTTCTGAGGGAGCGAATGGAAATTAGAAACTAACTTTGTGCATCACAGAGTTTAGAGCATTCTGGAAAATATCATTATTAGTTGGGCAACATTCAATCAGAATTTATTTCAAGTAAATTAAGTTAGTATGTTACTGATCTCACAGCAGAAATTTCTACCTGCATCAGATGATCATGTTGGACAAAAAAAATCTATATTTCTGCAATTATCACTCTACATCTACAAAACAACATAATCCCTGTCTTCAGACAAAGAGTCATACAAGACTCAAAATGTTAACTCTATTTCTCGACACAAATGCTGCCATACCTGTTGGCTTTCTTCAGCATTCTCTGTGTTTGTAGCAAAATGATTAACAGAGACTGGATCAGATGTTGACATATGAGCCAGTCAGGGAGAGGGCAGTAATGGATGAGGAACGGAGATAGTGGCCCGAGAGCTGCAGCAATACACATGAATGAGAGAAGTTAGTAACTTGAGCGAGGAGGGAAAGGAATACAAAAAGTGAGAAAGAGAAGGAATCAGGGTTAAGGTTGTGTCATTGTCAGAATTATTCTAGAGCAATTGTCAGAACTGCTTTATTTTGACATGTGGGAAATGTTACAAAACACAACGTAAAGAGAAATAACTCAGGGACTGTTACTGGGAGGGAGGTTAGAGCAGGGGCTGGAACCAAAGTGGCAGTGAAGAGGCTGCCTCAGAGATACTGAACCGTAAAGCTGTTTACTGCATTACCACCAACAAGGAATAATAACATTTTTTTTAATCTGAACAAGTAGTTACAATTTTAATTAATTTGAAAACAGTCAGGAATTCACTGTGTTTTTGTGTCTCAAACATTAAAATTATTCTCAATTGTTCCCAGTGTTTCAATTAGATTCAGCACCACCTGGTGGATACTGATTCACTGAGCTCAGAAGGTTTTCCAGGATCTGAATTTTAGACCTCACCCTGCGAGTGGATTTGAAGGCAAGGGAGCTTGACATTGAAGGCTACTGAAGCATGTTCCTCGGTTGTAATTGAACAGCTTGACAATGGTCCAGACACTTACATGCCTCAACAAGCATTTTTTGTTCATAATTGCTAGCTGCAATAACAAACAATGGCGCTAAAATAGGTGGTATCGTGGATAGTGAGGAAGGTTATCAGAAATTGCAACAGGATTTGATCAGCTGGGGAAGTGGGCCGGGAAATGGCAAATGGAGTTTAATATAGATCAGTGTGAGGTGTTGCATTTTGGAAAGTCAAATCAAGGTAGGAGTTTCATGGTGAATGGCAGGGCCTTAAGGAGTGTAGTGGAACAGAGGAACCTTGGAGTTCAGGTGCACAGTTCTCTCAAAGTGGAGTCACAGGTAGACAGGGCAGTGAAGAAGGCTTTTGGCACTCTGGCCTTCATCAGTCAGGGCACTGAGTATAGAAGTTGGGAAGTTATGTTGCAGTCATACAGGACATTGGTGAGGCTGCACTTGGAGTATTGTGTTCAGTTTTGATCACCTTGCTATAGGAAGGCTGTTATTAAACTGGAAATGGTGCAGAAGAAATTTACAAGGATGTTCCAGGACTCAAGGGATTGGGTTATAGGGAGAGGTTGGATAAGCTAGGACTTTTTTCTTTAGAGTGTAGGAGACTGAGGGGGATTTTATAGAAGTGAATAAGTGAATAAGATCATGACAGGCATGGAAAAGGGTGAATGCACTCAGTTTTTTACCCAGGGTTGGGGAATCGAGCACTAACGGGCATCAGTTTAGATAAGAGGGGAAAGAATTACATGGGAACCAGAGGGGCAATTTTTTTTTACACAGAGAGTGATACACATATGAAATGAGCTGCCAGCAGAAGTAGTTGAGGCAGGTACATTAACAATATTTAAAAGGCATTTGGATGAATACATGGATAGGAAAGGTTTAGAAGAACATGGGCCAAGTGCAGGGAAATGGGGTTAGCATGGATGGACATTTGATCAGCACAGACCAGTTTGGGCCGAAGATCCTGTCTCCATGCTGTAGGACTCTATGACTCTCAATGACTCTAATACTGGATTTTTCAATACCATGATATCTCCACTCAGTTTCTTATGTTATAGAAGCTTACATCAGCACTGCTGCATCAGGTAGAATACCTTGCTGGAAACAAAATTATATCATGGTTAGCAGTATTGGCCATCTAACCAGAAGACCCCAATGGTTCTTGTGGTTATTTAGAAAACTGATCAAAGATTAACTAGACTATAGCTCTTATTAGAGATTATTTGAAGTATGAATTCGTACAAGCAGAATGCTCTGCCATTGCAACCAAACAGCTTAAGACTATTCCAAACCATTAGGTGTCAGTGAGTGTAATAATTCCATATATTAGCCAGGTATAATAAATGTCTGTTGGGTCTTTCAATACCATATTATCTAATGGTTAATTTCTTATATTACAAGTGATAACAAGTATTGTCACACTAGGTGAAGAAACTTTGCTGGAGAAAAAGCACACATCCTGGTTATCCGTTTGTAAAAAGAGTCTAAGATCTCAGTAGTAGATATTTGGAAATCTAATTGAAGATCAAAGGATTCGGACAACAAGTCAGCAGCATCAGCCTCTTTAAATCCAGATGGCCTTACAGATCTGTTTATAGGCACTGACAAACCAGAAGACAGAATTAATTTCTTTCCGAATAAAACCTTTTAAGCTAGAAGCCATGTCTTTGTGTTTATAAAAAAAACCCAAGTGCCTGCTGTTATAATGTTAAAAAAGGAAGTCAAATGCTCCTGACAGAATTCCTTACTATGATCTGCCTGTGCTGTTCGTAAACAAAGCTTTTCACTGTACTTCAGTACATGTGACAATCAATCAGTCAATCAATCAATAAATCAAAAGTGCTTTCAGAATTTTTTTTCTACAGGAAGAATGTTTATCTCTGTCCAGACCAATTTCTTTCTTTAAATTAGTGCCAGATGACAAAAAGCCTTCGTGACATCATCGCTCCTTATTTTGTACAAATGCTATAGAGAGACAGAGACCTGTAAGTACAAACGTGCAATCTTAAACCTACAGAGCTGGAAACAACACACCTAAGAGAGATACAGCCAGTCATGTGGCAGCAACAAGCAAAATTAAGGGAAACAGGGATGGAAAAATAAACAGAGAAAAACAAAATACCAGTAACAAGGAATAATTATACACTGACGGCATTCAACTTCAATAAAATAAAAATGAAAAACAATCACAGAGAAATGAAGAGCAAACACTAAACATTTTACACAGTATCCAATGATATCTTTACTGAGTAATGACGATTTAAACAATCTATTCAGTTCTATTTTACAGATCGAGTGATAGCTGATCCCAAAAGGAAAAGTCTAAAAATCTTGCTTGGAAACAAAGGGATTTGCAGACTTAACTGATCCAGTCTTATAAATGATCTGAAAGATCCAGAAAAGATCTAAAATGTTCTTGAGAACCAGCACAAGATATGAACTAGCTTTAGAATGAACAGACTCTATTTCATATCATATAGTGAGCAGATTCAAGAGTCTGTTGACCAGTTTGCTGAATGGTGCAAAGGGAAATAAATGTGACTTTTCTGAGGAGTTGTTGTTGAGGTCCTCATTGTGTTCGTCACCACCTCCACACTATTTAAAGCTTCACAAAGAATCTTTGTTACTGGTCCAGACCATTGACACATTACTTGAGGATGATACAACTATGAAGCCAGAGTAGTAAGACAACACCAATTGCATGTCTTAGGTGCAGTGAAGTGCACCAAACAATCAAAATCTGTAACAGATGCAGTTTGTCACATTTACCCAAAAATTGTGCAGCTTTTCCCGATATTTGGAAAGCCTGTAGTGCCAAAGGAATTTAGCCAGGCATGTGCGTGGAATTAGGTGCAAAAGCCAAACCAGAGCCCCAGGACAAACGCAGGTGACTAACAAGCCAGTACAATAAGAGAAGTTATTCAGGCAGGTTATTTTTCAGGAAAGGAACAGTAGCAGCCAGATCAGTGGCACCACGACTGGCTCTGTTGTTCCACAAGGAGGGTTGAAGTACAGGTGAGTGTTAGTGATAGGCGTCTCTACATTCAGGGGCACAGGATGTTTCTGTCACCATAAGCGAGTCTCTAGGATGGTGGTTATCTCCCAGCGGGCACAAAACATCCTGAAAGGGGAGGGTAAGCAGCCAGAGAACATGGTCCAAATTGGCCTTTAATGACATAGACAGGAAGAGAGATGAGGACCTGCAAAAGGAACTTTGGGAGTTAGGCAGGAGGTTGAAAAACAGGACCTCCAGGGTTGTAATCTCACGATTACTCCCCGTGGTACGTGCTATTGGGGCTAGAAGTAGGAAGATAATATAGTGTGGCTACAGAGCTGGTGTAGGAGGGCTTCAGATATCTGGATCATTGGGGTCTTTTCCAGGACAGGGTGGACCTGTATGAGAAGGACAGCTGCACCGAACTTGAAGGGGCACTACTATCCTTGTGGGGAGGTTTGCGAGTGCCACTTGGGAGGGTTTATTCTCGTGTGGCAGGTGCAGAGTGGTAGGTCAGCATGTGGAGTGACTGGGGAGAAGGTAGAGGTTAAGTAAGTCTAATTGAAAGAACATGCAGGGCTAGGTTTATAAACAAAGAAGGACTGGCGGTCTGAAGTGTATTTATTATAATACAAGGAGTTTAAAGGAAAGGGAGATGAGTTACAGCCTGGTTTGGAGCATGGAACTATGTTGTTGTAGCCATCACAGAAATTTGGTTTGAGAGAAGGGCAGGATTGGCAGCTCAATGTTCGAGGGCTTAGATGTTTCAAGCATCATAGAAAGGGATGTAAAAGGGGTAGAGAAGTTGAATTACTGATTAAGGAAAATGTCACAGAATGCGCTCAGAGGGCATCTTGGAGGGTTCACCCAGTGAGGCCATATGGGTAGAATTCAGCAATAGGAATGATGCAATCATTATGATGGGTTTATACTATAGGCCTCCCATAAGCCAGTGGGAGAACGAACAGATATGTAGATAGATCATGGAAAGATGTTCCGCAGTATTGACTACGACTCCCATAGTGCCAGGGCTTAGATGCGGCAGAATTTGTTCGGTACATTCAGTAGAGTTTCTTGAAACAATATATAGATACTCCAACAAAGAAAGGGGCTGTAGGAGACCTTGTGCTGAGGAATGAGCCTGACCAGGTGATTAAAGTGTCAGTAGGAGAGCATTTGGCAGTGATTATAGTTCTGTAACTGTTCAGATAGCTATGGATCAGCATAAGACTGGTCTTCGAGTGGAAGTGCTAAATTGGGGGAAGGCTAATTACAACAGTATTGCAGGAGGTGGAGAAATTAGATTAGGGGTGGCTGTTTGAACATGAATCCGCATCTGATATGCCGGAGTCCTATAGCAGCCAGTTAATCAGGACCTGCATGTTCCCGTGAGGATGAAAAATGCGGATGCAAGATTCCAGAACCCTGAATGACAAGATATTGAAAGTGAAAAAGAAAGAAGATGCAATTGTAAGGATTAGGAAACTAAATTCAGACAGGACCCTTGATGAATATAAAGGAAGCAGGAAAGCACTTAAACAAGGAATTAGGAGGGCTTAAAGGGGCCAGGAAATGTTCTTGGGAAGTAGGATTAAGCAGAATCCCAAGGCTTTATACACATATATTAAGGGCAAGTGTAGGCCTAGCACATAATCATGGCGATGGTATTAGAGGCGAGTTTGGGTTCCCAGCAGCATCTGCACTCAGTGCAGGTTCATAGAGGCTGAAGCAAAAGGGAGATTGGGCCCAGGACAAGACCCTGTAGAATCAGCAGCAGCTTCATCGGTGAAGTAGGCCTGAAGCAGACTCATGGCAGCAGCAGCAGTCGGTGTTTGGGTTGGGTGCGGTACCCAGCGGCATCATTGGTGCCTATGTTGTAAAGGTCCAGTAAGGACTCATGGGAAGACGGCATCTGAGGAGGCGAGATGGCACCGAAAAGTGGCGACTTGCCTTCCAGCAGTGGCACGTCGAAGGGAACTCATGCCTGGCCACTAGACCCATAAATCATGGCTCATGGTGGAGCACTTAACAAGAAGGGCTGTAAAAGTGAACACTTTTAAAACCGTCTTTACTTTTCTGCCTTTGTATTCAATGTTTTAGTTTATTTTTCTGTGTTTTAAGATGGCGCTGGAGAGTGGCGACCCTATACAACACTTTTCACTTCTTTTTGCAACAAAATACGCGTAACAATAAATCAAATCAAATCAAATCAAGAGGGTAACTAGGGAAAGGGTATGTCCACTCAAGGACAAAGCAGGGAAATTATGTATGGATGCAGTGGAAATGGGGGAGGTCATTGATAAATGTTTCACATCAGCATTCACCAAGGAGAAGGACATGGATAAAGGTAGGATTAGGGACAGGTATGTTGATATTCTATCGCATGTTGATATTAAGAAGGAGCAGTTGTTGTGTGTCTTGAAAAACATGAAGGTAGATATGTCCCAAGCAGCAGATGGGATCTATCTCAGGATACCAAGGGAGGCAAGGGAGAGATTGCTGGGACCTGACAGAGATCTTTGTATCCTGTTTAGCCACAGGTGAGGTTCCAGAGACTGGAGAATAACCAATGTTGTTTCTTTATTTAAGAAGGGCAATAGGGATAATCCAGGAAATTATAGGCTTGCGAGCCTTACATCAGTGGTCCGGCAATTATTCGAGAACATTCTTAGGGAAATGATTTACTCACATTTGGAAGAGAATGGACTTATTAGGAATAGTCAGCATGGCTTTGTGTGAGGAAATTCTTGTCTCACAAATTTGATTGAGGTTTTTGAGGAAGTGACAAAAATGATTGATGAGGGTAGGGCAGTGCATGTTGTCTGAACAGACTTTACTAAAGCATTTGACACAGTGCTTCATTGTAGGATTGTCCCAAAGATTAAGTCACATGGGACCCACTGTGAGTCAATAAGTTGGTCACAAAATTGACTTGGTCGTAGAAAACAGAGGGTCATTTTAACAAACTAAAAAGTATAATTGGCAAATTTCAAGTGACATATATGCATCTCATACATAATCTATGCTACAGACAAGATAATGAAGAGAGATAGACAAGCCAACTGACAGAGATAGGCTAACTGATAGACAGGTGGATGAATGAATGTAAGGTCAAACAGACAGATTTTCAAATTTGTATGAAACTACAGAAACAAACAGATAGACACAATAATCACCTAACCTGGAACAGATTGAATCAAATATTCAAACCATTGGCGCATAGTGGAATCTCCAATCAGATAAACATGTTTCTTACGAAGACAGTCTGTCTTTTTTGTAGGAGTGTCAAAGTGGAAAATATCACAGGTTGTTGACCTCCACTGGTCCTTATAATAAAAACCAGATGGTGATACCATGGGCCGTCCCCGGACACATTTTCCAAGAGCCGGAACTGAAAATGAAGTGAAAAAGGCAGGAAAATCATGATGCACTACATCTTCAATAATCAAGACTTTTTCATTCAGTTAATCACAGGTTCCGTAGTAATGACAATCCCAGGAGAACCATTAGCTGTTGCTACAGGAAGAACACATGCACAATGAGGAAACTAATCTGAGTAACATTCTGAACAAGGCTATGTCAATGGGTAAATACATCACTTGTTGTCACTGAGGTGTCATGAGAAGGCAATCCCACTGTTAATCCTTGGTCTGTACTGGGATAGCTCAGCTCAGCTGGGTGATGGTGGGGCCACTGTACAGGATAAATTTGGAGAACATAATCATATTCCACTAAATACAGCCTCCTGTATACATGGCTGTCTATTAGACTGTTTAGCTTTCTCCAGAAAAGAGAAATAAAATGTGAAAGTAACACTTCATTCCTGCATCCTAAATATTGGATTCTTTGAATTAGTTTCCAGTCCAAGTTCTTTTCACAGGCAATAATGAGTGGACACTGCACACTGTACCTGTTATCCATGCTATAGAATATAGAGAATATGAACTCTTTCTGGGCTATCTGTGTTAATTATGTATTCACTCCATAACCCTGGAATGCACACACTTCTACACCAATTTTGAATACCCCCAGCTGTGTTCTGTAATTCTTGATGCATAAAAGCATATTTGCACAGGAACAGGAAAAAGCACCATTGGATTACAAAGGTTCAGTGAAGTACGTAACTGAAATTACAGTCTGTATTTATTTTGCAGGGTAAACCTCTTCTTTATGTTCTAGTTTTTTGTCCTTCCCCCCCACCCCATTTTCTGCATTAAAAACCAATCTTTACCTAGCTAGCACCCGTTCTGAAGAAAGGTCGCTGAACTCAAAATGTTAACTCTGCTTTCTGTCCACAGATTCTGCCAGACCTGCTGAGTTTTTCCAGCAATTTCTGTTTTAGTGTCCACAATTATTTCTAGTCTATACTAATGATTTTGATGAGGCAAGTGAATATGGCCAGGTTTGCGAATGACAAACATATGAAGGCATCTGGTGAGCTTGACACAAAAGAGTCTGCAGAGGGATACAGACAAGTTAAGTGAGTGGACACAAATATGGCAGCTGGAATATAATTTGAGAAAACATGTGGTTTTGAACGTTGGCTGGAAGCATAGAGAAGCTGAATATCTTTTTTTATTCATTTGTGGGATCTGAGCATTGGCAGCTGGCCAGCATTTATTATTTAAATGGAGAAAGACTGCAGAAAGCAGTAGCACAGAGGAATTTTGAGGTCTTCATATATAAATAATAAAAAAGATGGCTTATAATTTCAGCATGTAATTAGGAAGGCAAATGGAGAGTTGGTGTTTATACCAAAAGGGAATGACATATAAAAATCAAAATATAAAAAAGGTCTTGCTCAAACTATTTGAGACATTCATTAGACCACACCTGGAATAGTGTGAACAGTTTTAATTCCCTTATACGGGCATTGGAGGCAGTCCAGAGCAGGTTCATTAGGTTAGTCTGGGGTATGGAGGAGAAATTGAGAAAAGGTTGGGCCTATACTCATTGGAGTTTAGAAGAATGAGAGATGACATTATTGAAACATACTTTGGAGATTTAGATTCTTCGGGGACTTCACCTGACTAGATGTAGAGAGGTTGTTTCCCCTTGTGGAAAAAAGCTAGAACCAAAGGGTATATTCTCAGAATTAGGGACTGCACATTTAAGACAGAGGTGACAACAGATTGAATCTGTCAATTTTTTTACCACAGAGGGCTGTCATTAATTATAGTAAAGGCTGTGCTGGAATTTTAATAGGTTAGGGAATCAAGGATTGTGAAGATAAGGCAGGAAAGTGGAGGTGAGGATTATCAGATCAGGCACAATCTCATTGAATGGCAGAGCAGACTCAATGGGCAGAATGGCCTACTTCTGCTCCTATGTTTAATAGTCTTATAGCAGGTTTAAACTTCTGATTGTTGATTCTATCCTGCTGAGACTGCTATGCGATTGGCCAGAGAGACAGGCCTGGGTTGTTTGCACTTTACTCACCCAGCTTTATACACAGATATTTTAGAGCTTTTCACACCTGGTGTAAAGCTTGCTGAGCTGTGTAACTCTTATAAATCCATTGGTGTGTCATGTCAGTACTTGTAGCTATGCATATCACCCTCTCCCCCAGTAGACAGTGTTCAGCATCCCTTCCCAAGCCACAGAAGGTGTTAATTGCTCTACCCACTCTGAACAACAACAGTGTTACAATGGAACATGGGAACAGGAGTAGGCCATTCAACTCTTTGAGCCCTTTCTACTATTCAATGAGATTGTGATTGATTTGTGGACTAATATGTCACACGTGACTTTGGCACATATCCCTTAATACTTTTGCATGACAGATCTTTATTTATCTCAGATTTAAAATTAACTGATCTTGCATTGATTGACATTTATGGAAGAGAATTCCAAATATTTACCACTGTTTGTATGTAGAAGTGCTTCCAAACATCTCCGCTGAACGGTCCGGCCCTAATTCTCACGCTATGGCCCCTAGTTCTAGAATCCCCAACCAGTGTTTTTTCTTGTTAATATCTTGAAGACTTCAATCATAAATTATAAATTCTAGAGAAAATTTGCCTAATTTGTGTAATTTTTCCTCAAACTTAATCCCTGAAGTCCAGGTATCATTCTTGTACACCAACTTTAAGCCAAAACAAGCTTATGAAAAAAGCTGAGATCAGGAGGAAAAAGACAGAAGAATCCACTACATTTAAAACAAGGAACCAAGATCAGAAGCTGGTAGGGTTCTGTGTGTTAATTCATCATCATCTGTTTTGATAGCTTCCTGCTTGGCTTTGGAGACAGTTATTCCATGTGGGCCTGGAGCAGTCAGGTGGGACTAGTTTACTTTGGGATTATGTTTAGCATGGACTAGTTGGACTGTTTCTGTGCTGTATGACTCTACGACTCTACAACTTTTATTAGATTTTGTGGAAAGTGGAGGGAAGATTTTGAATCCAAGGAGAATCAAATCTTTGAGATTCTAATTGGTGTGATCTAACTTAAATGCCTGGAACCAACCTGAAATAAAGTTCTTTAACCCTTTGGAACTCAAGATAAGCTTGCTCAAGCCAGTTATGGAAGGTTTGGCAATTTCAACAATTTGCCTCTGGTACCAGTTCATATTCATTCAGGATAACATTCAGTTCTGAAGAGGGGTCCCTGGGCTGAAAGGTTAACTCTGATTTCTCTCCACTGCTGCTGCCATACCTGCTGAGATTTTCTAGCAATTTCTGTTTTTGTTTCAGATTTCCAACATCTGCAGTTCTTTCCCTTCTTTTTATTAAAGGTGTATTGCACACTAACTTTGATACATAACACAATACTTTCTAGTCCTTACTAACTTTCAGGTACATTTTATCGTCTGGTTTTGCCGTTTCAAGTTTTGAAAGAAAGGTTGCATTTTACTACATCTTTTCCAGTCCAGACAGAGTGCAGCTTTACCTACAGCTGTTACTCAGGCTGACTGATTTTCAGTATCTCTTTTTAATGCTGACACGCTGTTAGAGTGACAACTCAATTTTTGTCTGAAGACCATTTTCTTCTTTTCGGGTGGCTTTGGATTCTTTGTCCTGATGATTTATTCACATTTAAAGACAGGAATCTGTACTCCCAAACACCAGGTTGTATCTGATAGCACTCTCCGTGCAGTTTGCCACTACTTTGTAAGTAATGAGACTAGAAATTCTGCCACCAGTCGTTCTTGTAATGCTAGTCTATGGTGCTTACAAGTATTAAGTGATGAGGGGTTAACCATAATAAGCTTTTGGCAGAAAAAGCCTGAATTTGAGTAACACAAAGTGGTTTATTACAGAAAATAAGGCAACAGGTTACTTTAGCTTTAGGTTAACTACAGCTAACTGGTGAACTCTATTGTACTATATTAAAAAATTGTTGTTGCCAAAAGGATACAGCTATGTTTATGCAACACGATTGTAGACTGTCGAGCTGGTGACTTGCAACTGGCTTGCTGCTTGCAGAGACAGTCATTTACTGGTATTTCTGCTATAGTGTGTGTTTCATTAACATGAATTGGCTGTAACACGATTGATGAATAGTGGACGCTGTTTGAATAACATCAACTTTCTACTATACAGTATAGCGATTTTCTATAGCATGATTTTCTATAGTGTGAGGTCACACAAGAAACTATCACATTATAGGAGAAATACCTGTATATATCAGTGGGAGGAGCCAGCCCAAAGGTTCAGAGTTAACCCTTTCAGTTCAACTGCCATATATGACAATTCGTACTTCCTCTAATATACCAAGTCTTCAATTTCATAGTTACTGATGTATAATTAACTTACTCGGTCGAGGTGAAGGCTCTACCGTTATGTATCCTGCGCCACTGGGTAATATGCTCTGCTTGAGGTTGATACGACTGTAAATGTAAATATATGATAAATGAAGTCATTGTATTAATGTAACAAGTCAACATAGATAGGAGATAGCCCAAGAGTATGTTTTGCTCTGTTATTTCTCAAACCAATACTAACAACTTGAATTTTACAGTCAACACTGACTCCACTAAATACTACAAATGAGTTGTTAGGATAGATGGTCTAATGTCAGCGTTCTTGTCCCAAACCAACATTTCTAGTCTAAACAGCAGTCATCACCCAGAACCAGCTTCATTGGATGTGTTATTTCATTCACACACCTGACCCCAAATTCCTGAAACAACAGCTTTTCTCTGAACGTCACAGCAAGAAACTCCCAGGAGAGCAGAGGAGATACTTCAGTGATATTATCGAAGCATGATGTGAAGAGATTCTCACTGACGCCAGCTACCTACCACTCAAAATGGAGAACAAGCTTTCAGGGAAGAAACGAGTGATTGGACAGACTTCGATAGCAGAATGTGAAGCCAAAGTCAAGACAGGACATGGAGCACATAACACCCTCCAAGTAACTCAATGATTTAATCCTTCAAATACTACAGGTGTTAGAGTTTGTAGAGCATGCATCAGACTTATCAGCCATCTTAGAGTGTACTGAGCCAGGATGAAAGCATGTCATAGAGTCATAGATTAATAGAGATATACAGCACGAAAACAGACCCTTTGGTCCAACTTGTCCATGCCAACTAGATATCCTAAATAAATTTGCCAGAATTTGACCCATATCCCCGTAAACCCTTCCTATTCATATACCCATCCAGATGCCTTTGAAATATTGTAATTGTACCAACCTCGAACACTTCCTATGGCAGCTAATTCCAAATGCGCACCATCCTCTACGTGAAAAATTTGTCCCCTGGATCCCTTTAAATCTTTCCCCTCTCACCTTAGACCTATGCCCTCTAGTTTTGGACTCCCCCATCTGGGGGAAAAGACCTTGTCTATTTACCCTATCCATTCCTCTCAAAATTTTATTAACCTTTATAAGGTCACCCCTCAGCCTCCAATACTCCAGGGAAAATAGCCCCAGTCTACTCAGCCGCTCCCTGTAGCTCAAACCCTCCAACCCTGGCAACATCCTTGTAAATCTTTTCTGAACCTTTTCAAGTTTTACAACATCCATCCTATAATCAAGAGACGGATCTCAATAACAACATACTGGTATTTCTGCTATAACACGTGTTTTGTTAATGTGAGTTGGCTGTAACACAATTGATGAATAGTGGATGCTGTTTGGATAACGCAAACTTTCTACTATTTAGTTTAGCAGTTTTCTATAGTGATTTCCCTATAGCGTGATTTTCTGTAGGGTGAGGTCACACAAGAATGCAACTATCATGTTATGGGAGAAATACCGATGGCTCAGTGGTTAGCACTGCTGCCTCACAGCGCCAGGGACCCGGGTTTAATTCTAGTCTCGGGTGACTGTCTGTGTGCAGTTTGCACATTCTCCCCGTGTCTGTGTGGGTTTCCTCTCACAGTTAAAAGATGTGCAGTCTAGGTGGATTAGCCATGCTAAATTGCCTGTAGTGTTCAGGGATGTGTAGGTTAGAGGGGGATAGGTCTGGGTTAGGCCGAAGGGCCTGTTTCCACACTGTAGGGATTCTATGATCTATGATCAAAAAAACCCCACTCTACTCACTGCTGTAGATTTACAAAAGAAAACCAGTAAGGTTATACTTTAAAAAGCCACTTAGGTGCTCCCCTGTTATGAGCTCCCAAACACATGTTTCTCCAAGGTCTGTTGTGAATTTCGCCATTTGTTTATATTTCTTAGAATGAATTCCAATGTTCAGAAAACAAACAGCAAAGGCAGCAGCAATGCAGGTTACTGCTGGGTCAGACAGAAGTGTCAGTTTCTTTCTCCATTTGAATCACTACCCATGTGGTCACCGCCCTGTGTCTGTCTTCCTCCATTTTAAAGTCCTGTTGTTTTGATCTATTTTTCCCAAAGTTCCAAAACAATGCAACAGCTCATAAAACAGGAATTACCGCTCCTAGAATTCAAGGAAATCAGCTCCAACACTGAAAATGCCTCAAAAAGGAGCAGCTCTTACAGCCACAATTTTCTCCTGTCCTCCATCTTGGATCATCCAGAATCCTCAATTCTAAGGATTTGCCCAAAACAGGTTATGAGATATCTTCAATCTCTGTTTCTGATGTCACTTCTCCAATCAGATGACAGAAAATACATAACAAACGTGATTCAGTCAGAATCATTGGCATGAATGAATGAATAATTGACGTATGCTATTCCACGTCTCTCGATTTATCAGAGTCAGTACCTAATAGACAACTTATTTAGAGCTTTATGTAGTAAAATGTTCTAAGGCCTTTCATCAAACAATCACCAGATGAAACTTAGCACCAAGTCACTAAAAGACATTAGGAGAAGTGAACAAAAGTTTAGTTAAATAGGTAGGCATTAGGCAGCATCATAAAGAAGGAGGGAAAGGTAGCAAGGTGGATAGGAGGGAATTCTAGAGCTTCTGGTCTGACAGCTGAAGGTACAGGTCCAAGGAATATGAGGGAGATGTCAAAGGCCCTAGAGTCATACCATATATTGTCATATCTGTATTAAAATGTATGCTAATTTACACTATTTATCTGCAGAAGTATCATTGTCTGATGGGTTCTTCCCAATCCGTGACTCCTGTATAAGTGCAAAAAAAATACAGTGAATTAACAAATCAGCAGGTCCAGGTGTCAATGACTAAGATTTGGAAAAAAGTGAGATCTTGGAGAATAATAGGACTGGAAGAAGTTACGGTGACAGGGAGAGGTGACACAGGAAAGGATTTGTACACAAAGATGTTAGCATGAATATTGTGGCAGTTCAGTACAGAATTTTGTTCATTCATTCATGATTTTTGGGCATTGCTGACTAGGACAGCAATTATTTCTCATACCTACTTACCCTCAAGAGGGCACTGGTGAGCTGTCTGCTTGCAGTGCAGAAGTCCATTTGGTGTCGATACACACACAATGCTGTTAGGAAGGGAGTTCCAGGATTTTGACCCAGTGACAATAAGGGAACTGCATTTTAGCCGTACATATGGAAGGTGGAGAGGAATGTGCAGCTGGTGGTGTTACTGTGCCTTTGTTCTACCACGGGGTAGAGGTTGTGGGTTTGGAAGGGGTGTCAAAGAGTGTTGGTGAATTACTGCAGTGCATCATGGTCAGTGGTGGAGAGAGAGAATATTGAAGGGGCTGCATCAGGTGCCAAGCAAGCATGCTGCTTTGTGCTAGATGGAGGCTCACGAGTATTTCTGGTGTGAAATGGAGAGTGCGGAGCATTCATGACTCATGACACGTGCCTTATAGATAGTGAACAGGTTTTGGAGAGTCAGGAGGTGAGTTATGAGGAATTGTAGGCACAGTATTTGTATAGTTAATGCAGTACAATTGCTGGTCAATGGTAATGTCCAAGATGTTGAAAGTGAAGAATTCAGCAATAGTAGTGCCATTGAATATCAAGGACAGATAATTCAATTCTCTCTTGTTGGAGATGTTCATTGCCTGGCGCATGCTTCATACAAATCTTACTTGCCACTATCAACCCAATCATGTGATATGATTCAGTTTACAGTAAGACAACAATGTCCATCACCAAGAGTGTTTTGGCAGCTGCAGTAATGACCTTACTGGTTAAGTCCTGAAGGACATAACTGCTAGGCTGCTTCTGGGCACGTGGTGAGGGAGTCAACAAAATGGAAGTACATACTTGGCCTCACTGTCACCAATCTGCCCACTGTAAATGCCCCTGTCCATGAGACTATTGGGAGGAGACACCACCCCACAGTCCTGTGGAGATGAAGTCTCACCTTCACATTCAGGATACCCTTCATGGTGCTGTGTGGCACTACCACCATGCTAAATGGATAGATGTTGATCAGATCTAGCAACTCAAGACTGGCTATTCATGAGGAACTGTGAGTCCTGGGTAGCACCAGAATTGTACTCAAACACAATCTGTACTCATTTGTTTGTCATATTCCTCCGCCCTACCATTACCTTCAGGCTAGAGGATCAATCCTCGTATAGTGAAGACTGAAGAGGACATGCCAGGAGCTGCAAAAGCATCTCTAAAAATGAAGTTCAATGAAGCATGTCAACCAGCATAAACAAAGAGTGATAGACAAAGATAAGTGATTCCACAAAACCAATGGATCTGATCTAAGCTTAGCAAGTTGCCTAAAGCCTAAAGTGAATGGTGGTTATCAACAGTTCTATCAAGCAGCACTTGCTTCATACTAGCCCCCTGACTGACGCTCAGGAGGAAATCCTGTCTGCAGGTTGGAGTCATACTGAGGATACAAGGTAATGTTGAAGGTCAATCATCTCAGCTTCAGGACATCTCCTCAGCAGTTCCTCTAGGCAGTTTCCTAAGCACAGTCATCTTCAACCATTTGAACAATGACCTTCCCTCAATTGTGAGATCAAACGTGGAGATGTTCACTGATGATTGCACAATGTTCATTCACAACTCGCCAGATACTGAAGCCATCCATACCCATATGCAGGAAGATATGGACAATATCCAAGCCTGGGCTGACAAATGGCAACTAACATTCACACCATGCAAGTGCCAGGCAATGACCATGTCCAATAAGAGAGAATCTGACCATTCAATCACATTGCCATTGCTGAATCCTTTAGTATCAGTACCTTAGGGTTACCATTTACCAGGAACTGAACTGGACCAGTAACAGGAGCAGGTCAGAGCTAGGAATCCTGCAGCAAGTAACTTACCTCCTGACTCCCTCAAAGCCTGTCTACCATCTACAAGGCACGAGTCAGGAGTGTGATGGAAAAGTCCTCACTTCCCTGAATGAGTACGGCTCCAACAACACTCAAGAAAAGAATGAAATCCGAAATTAAGAGCCTAATGATGACTGTGAATCCATTGCTGATTGTCAGAAAAATCAATCTGGTTCACTAATGTCCTTTAGGGAAGGAAACTGCCATCCTTACCTGGTCTGGCCTACATGTGACTCCAGACCCACAGCAATGTGTGGTTGACTCTTAACTACCCTCTGGGCAATTACAGATGGTCAATAAATGCTGCCTGGCCAGTGACATCCTCATCCCGTGAACGCATCAAAAAAAAGAAGTTTGACACCATCCAAGACAAAGCAACTCCTTGATTGGTACCACATCCGTAAATATACATTTCCTGCAGCACTATGCTCAGTTTTTTTTGTTTCTTTTTTCTTTCTTTCCCTAACGTATACTATTCTGCCTGTGTTTCCACCAGCTTTATAATGAAGGTTTGCTTTTAGAATGGTGTTTTAACCCTGCTGTTGCTCCCGTGGTTGTGACTGACCGACAGTTTTTGCACTTCATCTCCTCGCTGACTGCCTGTGCCTTCTTAAATCAGTAATGCCCTTAAATTGGTAAATCCCTTTTCTTCAAAAAATGTCTTCTTCAATTCGAACAGACCCAAATGCACCCTCCTATTACTGGAGCCCCCTCTTCTCTGGGACCCAAGAACCCCACAGCCACAGGACCTGATACCTCATGCTCTACTCTTCCAGACCCGATATCCATCAGCTAACGTGCATTACCCACTCCATGACTTACCTGGCACCCTATTTACCTGGTACTGTGGCACTCTACCCACCTGTAACCCTGGCACCCTATTCTCCTTGCACTTGACCTTCACACATACCTTACATAATTACTGGAGCTGTCAACATGGCTGTCTATAATACTAGATATTTTAAATGACAGAAAATGGCAACTGGTTGCTGTGAGAAAGGGAGCATGTTTTGTCTTCCCCTCATTATCCTGCAATATAAAGGACCTGCAAGACTTAAAGTACACTCCACTTTTCTGAAGGAGCCCTGATCAGAACATTCCATCAGAAATGCAGAGCTCTTTCTTAATGCAAAAAACATTAGGCGCTGAATAGGGAACTGAGTATGATTGCCATTCCTCAGAAAATCCAGACCATTGTGTTATAGCAACTCCATATGCACTGCACAGGTTCCAGAGGATGACTCACCACCATGATCCCAGAGCCCAAATCCCATGAACATATAAAAAAAAGACACGCAAACTGCAATGTGGATCAGTCCTATGACCTTTGCCAAAACCATACTTAGGAAAACCTTAGGTTTGTCTGAGAATGGCCTATGGTAACTTGACTTTCAATCGTTGACAGTGAGCATGCATGTCAACTTTCTTAATTTGATAACAGCTCCAAATCTTTGCACCTAAAAGGATATAAATACTGTATCTCAAATTGAAGATTGCATTGACTTCCCAATGTTGAGAAGTCTGGTTCTGCGTTTCTGTATTAGAGTCAGAAAGAAGGATGAGAATGCAAAATATAAATAAAAATACTTCAAGTAACATACCTTTGGAAGTAACGCTTCTCTTCTCCAATTAAGAGACCTTTATCAAATCCTGCTAAGCCACATTTGATACGAGCAGAGCAGGAAAGATTCTTTGGTTTATAACAGAACCAGGGCTCCCCAGTCCTGGGATCAGTAAAGTTACAGAGTGGCTCAGTTTGAGGCAAATAAAGATTACATTGAGTGGTCTCTAAAATATTACCATTCTTGAAGGTACTTTGAAAAGATACCCTTGCCATTCGTTCGTCACGTAGCCTTTTAAGTATTTGAATTCCTTCGCTGGAATGAACCAATGAAACAGAAATTTCAACTTTCCCCGGCCAAGATAAATTAAAATTGATATAGTAAAATCCATTTTGGTTGTCTATAACCGTTCCTGCTGAACCAGCTTTTAAAGCTGGGGTGTGGATCCGAGCTTGGAGATAGTCACCTCCATATCGCTTTGGGTGACCTTCAAAATCATACATCTGCAGCATCACTTGCAACTGATCTCCCACATAGAAAGTCTTTGCAGAATTTAAAATTACAAAGCGAATATGTGCTGGGTCGCTGCTTTTCTCAAAGGGTACAGCAGAGCTGGTTGGTTTTGGCCATTCGATCATTTTCATAAGGAGTGTTCCCTCTGACCTTTCTTCAGGGGTGAAGCTGTGATTCTGATAGCCATATTGCACCAGCCTGTCGGTCCAATGGAGATTCCTGGTTTCCACTTTCTGCCCCATGGTGTGATTAAACTTTGGTACTGGATATCTCCACCATTTGGATTCAGATATAATAATTGCAGTTTTATCATGCTATGAAAAAAAGCAAACCATTTTTGATGAATAATAGAGAATTCTTCAGAACTGCAGCATCTTAATTAAAGGGTTATACATTTCAATGAAGCAGTGAGCATGAATTCAGCAAGATACTGTAACTCAGCTCAGGAGAGGAAACAGGTCATTAGAAAGTCTAACCCTTGACTCCCAGACAGCGCAGTGATCTTCTGAAAGTGACCAGGCCATGAAAGCTACCAGTTTAATCCCCAGTCTGTGCAGAGTTGATTTCAGCACAGCTGAGATACTGAGGGGGAAGTGCACAATGATTTTGTGTTCCCCATTCTCACACTGTCCAATGACACCTGTTGGAAGTGCATAGGATGAGGCATAGGATAAGGAACAGACCTGGGCTTCAGTTTGAGACCCTGCCTCAGGTCAGGTGATATGTAAGTGAAGGTACTGGATCTATCTGCATAACTGTATCTCAGCAGGATTTGTTCTCATAACTTCAATCATAACCCCAAGACATTTCATAAATCCAGTTCCCAATTGATGAGTATCCTTTACAATGTGTAAAAGTTTCTGTCTGTCATGTTTAATAAACACTAAAAGCTTTGCCACCAGTGAATAATTGCAAATTGTTCATGTCATAATCAAAAGACAGATAGGCAGACTGTTGATTTGTGACCTCCAGTCAACTGGTATAAAATCTGTTATTTGATATAATGCCCACCTGCTTCACTATTTGCACTGTATAAAAGAGAAAACCAGAAGCAACACACCAATGATAGGTTTAAAAGGAAAGATAGGACAAAAAGGAAAAGAGGAGGAGAGAGTATTTTTTAAGGAGTGTTTTGCAGTGGGGAAGAAAGAGAATGCCTCACATGGTTCAAAGACAGAGTCAAATTACCTCGAGCTAAGGAATAAAATGAGTATAATTGCTTTGCTCAATGTAGTCTAGAGACCATCAACTGGCGGAAAGGATGTAGGGCAACAAACTTTTATTAGTCATTTGTAGGATGTCGGTGTCACTGGCTAGGCCAGCATTTATTACCTGTCCTTGCTTGTCCTTGGTTATGTGAGGGCATAGATTTAAAGGGATGTGCAAAAGAAGCAAGTGTGATCTGAGAAAAAAAACTTTTTCACACAGTGAGTAGTTAGGGTATAGAATGCACTGTCTGGAAATGTGGTGGAGGCAGATACAGTTGATGCATTCAAGTGGGCGTTGGATGATTATTTGGGTAGAAATCATATTCAAATATATGGCAAAAGTACAAAATTGGCGCGAAGTAATGATGCTCATTTGAAGAGCTAGTGCAGATACGATGGGCCAAATGGTCTCCTTCTGTGCTGTAGCCATTTTGTGATACAATTCCAAAAAGATACATGACTGCAGCCAAATGCCTGGCAGACCCCTGCAGTGTTAATAGAGAAGATATTTATATCTCTGAGTTTATAACAGTCAATGTAAACTTATTGATCTATTAGCCCAGGGTTCAGGTGAGTAGAGAACAACTTATCTCCCAACAGCACATTCTCATTTAGTTCAGTTTAGGGAATAGGTCACTGCAGTAGCAATGATTTTCTAATCCATGTCATCCCTAAGTCAGGAGAATTTGGAATCAAAATCTTCCTGTTGTTCAAAATGAAAAGTTGTGGAAGTTTCATGCAATCAGATTCAGAAAGGAATTGTAAACTTCTGTCTGCTGTTCCACAAAAAGAAAATGGAAGAGCCATTTAGGTAGAAACTGAAAGAGTTGAGACAGAAGTAAAATGTCTATGGATTTGAGTCTCTGAAACAGATGCTATTGGGGGAAATGTTGAAACGTTGTTTTGATGTTGTGTTAAGATCCTTCTAAACTGTTCTATTTATATTGCTTGCTTTGATTTAACTTTCCCTCTGTGTAATAAGCTTATGTTCTTTTGTTAAAGAGTATCTGCACCTTGTGTAAGCACTATTCAACGACAAACTACCGCATTAACTGACTAAAACTAGATAATATGCCATTTATCAAACAAGATTTCATTTTGGGATCTGACTTGTCCATTATTACCATCAGCTGGCATCATATGAAGAACCAATTTGGTGTATTTGGCCAAAGTGAGGAAAACTATTTACAATAATTGAACAAATCGGTTACAAAGAGCCAATTTGGAAAAAAGTGAAGTTTCCAAAGAACATGTAACTTATGGAAAGGCCAAATAGCACCTAGTTAAACAAAAATCAGGGCTATTATAGAGTTTACTGTGTCAAAGACAGAACATGAAATGTTGCAGTGTATCAGCATGAATGGATTCTGTTGGAAGTTCTTTTTGAATTTCAGCAACATTGTTAAAAGTGGTTCCGTAAACAAGTTTGCTAAAGAAAGGCAAGAAATGTGCATGGATCGAAGAATATCAGAGGGTGTTAGAAAGCTTGAAAGCTTTACTAACTACCTGACTGAATTTCATGGTGTCAAATTATGGGAAAAAAACTGAAACAACAAAAGCCTGCTAAGACTCTGCAGAGAGAAACAAAGTTAAAGTTTCACTTGGAACATGACTCTTCTTCAGAACCTTGATCTTGTCTTGTGCTAATCCACTTTACACCAGATATGCAAGCTGCTGTCGATCTTTTTGATCATATATCCAACTTTATCTTTCCTTGATTATTGTCAATATTGAACGCATATTAACTTATGCCTAGTTAGTTAAATGTTTCACTTCCGATGCATCTTGGAGGAGAATTTGCTAAGCACTTCCCAGATCTTTGCTGCCATGCACCTCTCTCAAAAAGTCACAGTCAGTGAGGAGATCCAACATTGGATCAATTGCACCAGATCAGCATTCAACAAAATATGGTAACGTATGTTTGAAAACAAAGACCACCACAAACTAATGGAAGTGCAAGTGTACAGAGCAGTTGTTGCCACCAGAATCCGATGCTACAGCAAGACCCAGCCTTTGGACCAGTGTTACTTAAAAATTGCAGGAGAAATTCTGTCATAAATGCCCAGGTTGCATCCGTCAGATTCACCAGGGAGATAATTCAACAAATACTCGTGTACAACTCTATGTAGCTCCAAGAGCATTCAGTCTAAACTCCTGCAAACTATGGTGGACTGGGCTCTTTGTCTGGAAGGTTATAAACTATCTCTCTCTCCAGGTCCTATTTTTTAAACTCACACATGACCAATGTTCCAGGGGAAGACACAGTAAATGCTTCCAAGACTCCCTGAAGCCTGCTTGAAATGTGGAATCATTGACTTAAATGGACTGGAAGGAGCTTGTACAAATTGTTCAAAATTGTTCAAGTTCATCAGGCTGCATCTTCAGTTAAAACGTTATAACATTGAGGCAGAACGGCAGCAGAGAAGGAAAGGAAAGGAAACAAATCCTGCACTCTGGATCCCAATATCTCATTAGACATCCTGCCCTATGTGACCATAGATCTGTGGTCAAGAATCAGCCTGTTTGGTCATGTGAAGATCCTAAACAAAAGCTTGCAACCCTGAGTAAAGGACATTTTCAAGGTTCGAAACAGCCAAAAGCAATGACCTGAAATGCAGGTAGGGGCTGGGGAAGCAATGGGAGAGGTAGAGAGGGAAATACAAAGCGTCTTTGTCAGATCAACGTCGGGCACTTCTCAGCAGGTTGTCAATGAGAGAATGGCCAGAGGTCTGGATCATTCTCACTATGCAGTGAGAAAATATATCCCCGTAGAACTGAAACTGGGAGAAACCTCAGTCCTTGATTCAAGAGGCAGCATGTGAAATAATTAAAATGGCACTTGGCAGCTGAAATACCCAGTCCTGAGAAACAAATCATCCCATTTTTAAATAATATTATCTTGAACCTTGGTGAACATTTTTAGTCTCCTCTAAACATGTTGATAACACCATTCTACATACCATTATGCCATACAAATTCAGAATCAGGAGCAGTAGAGCCATTAATGTCATCAACGTGAAGTGGGATGGACGTACGGAGAAGGGGAGGATAGATTTTCTTGTATGTTGTTCATCCATATTGAAAGGTCACAATGCACTCGTGTGTTGTAAGTCTGGAAAAAAACTAAATAAATTTAATATCAATTTATGCCTACATTTGATGCTCTTCATTGAAGAATCCCGAGGGAGTTCAATTTTACAAAATGCCCCAGAAAGGAAAACCTTGCTGGAGAACTGGAGACTGTGAAATGAGGAATCAAAATGGAGGCAGGGATAAGGCAGATAATTACAGATGAGTCACCATTATTTCAGCTGTCACTAAAAATCAAACTGTAATCACAGAGAAACACAAACTCTCAGGGCCAGTAAACGCTGAGTAGTGGGAAGTAAATGGAGGGAAAAGACAATGTGACAGGTGCAAATATCGAAAGGAAGAATGAGGAGGGAATGAGGTGGGGGGCCAGTGACAGAGACATTGGAGAACTGTGAGTCTTATCAGTGAGAGGGTGAGGAGGGCTCGTTCTGGCCGAGAATTAGGTTTAGTGGGTAGCTCAGGATCCAGCCAACTGAAGATCATTAGAAACTTCCATTGGATATGGTCATAGCCTGACAAATGTATGTTTTGAATGTTATTTGCTAATTTTCAGGCTAAGCGAGGATGTTGCCCAGTTCTCACTGAATGCCCACATGGACTGTTTCAGTGTCTGAGGTGTCATGAATGGTGTAATCATGATTAACATCTCTATTTCTGATGCTGGATGGAGAGAAAGTCATTGATATTTGCCGTGCCTAACATACTACCCTGAGGTATGCCTGCTGTGATCTTCCTGGACTGAGATGATTGACCTTCACCAATCACAACCAGTTTCAAAAGATAAATGTAAAGATTATGTAGTCTTTTGATGCAGCTGCTTCCTCTTTTGATGCTTTCTGAAGACAACCCGGGGCTTTCTTGTTCTTCAGAGAGAGAAAAAAATCCTCCTCAGACCTCGTCCTAAAAGAGCAATCCCTAATTCTAAAACATTGCCCCATAGCTCTGGAGTGATCTACAAATATCTTTTCCATGTCACTTTCTCAAGACTATTCTGGATCTTATCTATTACAACCAAGTCAGCCACCACTCATTTAAACTCCAGCAGAAACCAGCCTGGCATGTCCAACTTATCCTCATTAGATACTCCACTCATTCCAGGCATTGACCGAGTAAATGCCCTCTGATCCACCTCGAATACATTTACATCCTTCCTTAAATATGAAGGCCAAAACTTCATGCAGTAAGTGGAATGTTGTCTCACAAATGCCTTTTACACCCGAAACACATCTTTATTTTTTATGTTGAAGTTCTCTCACAATAAAGGAGAGGATCCCATTAACCTTCTTGATTAGATGCTATAGCTGTGTAGTAATTAATTGTGATCCAAGGGCACGTACATCCCTCTGCAACTCAGAATTCTGCAGTCAGTCCCCATTAAATACTAGTCTGCCTTTCAATCTTCCTGCCAAAGTGAACTACTTCATATTTTCCCACATTATTCTCCAACTACCAGAATTATTCCCACTGATTCAACCTATCTATGTCTATCTGCAACCTCCTTATATCTACTTCACAACATACTTCCCTCCCTCTCTGGGTGCCATCTATACATTTAGCTTCCATGCCTTCGCTCCATTCATTGCAGTCTTGATGTAATCTGTAAAAAGTTGAAGTTCCAGCACAGAGCCCTGTGGGACTCCACTCATCACACCCTACCAATCAGATAAAGGCCCATTTATGCACATTCTCTGTTTGCTGCTCGCTAGCCAGCCAATCTTTTATCTACCCACAAGCTTTGAGTTGTTATTTTTCACAATAACCTTAAATGTTCCAAAATCTGGATCTCAAATTTTTGCAGCTCAAATTACTTCCTGCACATGTGATCATTAAACCCACTTGAAGTATCCACTACTCCCCACGCAGTATGGGGTGTGTTTTCTACATAGCTGAGCTCTCCTGCCTATCTTTTAGATGACTTAAGCCAGAGATAAGGAAGAATGAAGTAAAATTACTCACCATTCAATGTCTTTGACTGCCTGTTTCAGTGTTCTTTCTTTGCCTTTTCCTCTAGATACCATTGACTGCCTGCCTTGGAATCTTTCTCTTGCCTGATTCTCTCAATGTCTTTTGTGCAGTTTTAGTCTCTTATTTAAGAAAAGATGTAAATGCATTCTGATGTTCAGAGGAGGTTCAGGAGAAGATCATTGGACCCGAAACATTAACTCCGAGTTCTCTCCACAGATGCTGCCAGACCTGCTAAGCTTTTCCAGAAACTTCTGTTTTTGTTTTCTCGATTGTTACAGACTGGGCTTGTTACCTCTGGGATTGGGTGAGTGAGAAATGATTTGATGGAGTTTTATAACATCCTGAACAGGCTTGAAAAGTTGAATGTGGAAAGGATATTTCATCTTGTGGGTCAGTATAGAACAAGGGAGCACTGTCTTAAAATTAGCAGTCCACTTTTAGGACAGAGATGAGCTTATTTTACTCTCAGAGTATCGTGTTTTTGGAATTTTCTGCCCCAGCAGGCAGTGAAGACAGGGTTATTAAATATTGTTAACGCAGAAGTAGTTAGATTCTTATTAGACAAGGGATTCAAACTTTATAAAGCTAGATTGAAATGTGGAATTTGAAACACTGTAATGATACAAAGGCTTTAAGAAGTGTATTTTGTCCTTTTTTTTGAAGAGAGATTTTGAGCTATAGGTGGCTAGCTGTCTCCTCCAAGCCAATAAAGTAAACAGCTTGTGAGGCTTTGGATTTTTTTTAAAAGTTGGAACAATAGAAGAAGCATGAATGGGTGGAGTCTGGCTCCCAAAGAGCAAGGGTTTTAGTTTAGCTTTCAGTAGTTGTTGGGAATTGAAGGATGGCTGTCTCTCTCTCACTCTCGCTTCTACAATTCAAAGCTTGGGTCCTCCCTCTGTTGCCAGAATTGCATACAAGACAATCTATTTTACTGACTTTGCCTTTGCCAAGGGTGTTGTTTATGAGATGTTAATATATTGGAACAGTTGCTGTTTAGTAGTTAAATATACTATAATTCTGTTATGTTTTCAAATTGAGTTAAAGTTATACTAATTCTTCTTTATTGTATTTGTACTCTAACTGTAGTGTAAGAATAAAGTGTGTTTTGCATAAAGTCGAGTAGTGTAGCCAAGAGAATTACATCTGGAACACAGCACCTTACACTTACCTTTAAATAAGATAGAAGTTAGGATTGAGGCTTTCCCCTTGATATATCTGAAGGGGGTTTGGTCTGGTCCATAGCACCACAAACAGGTCAGCTATATCTTATAGAAAGGCAAAGCAGGCTCAAGCAGACAAATGGCCTTCTTCTGCTACTACTTAGTATGTTTGCATGTTCGCATATTTAGGTCTGAATAAATGAAATCTAATACAGCAACTTAAATTTATGTTGTGCCTTTAACATAATGAAAGTGCTTCACAATACCATTGTGAAACCTCATGGTTATGGAGGGGAGAATGTGACAGACCAGCCATAGTTGAGTGTGACAGTTGAGTCCAGAGGTCATGAATGTTCCAGTTGATTCTAAGTTAAATATTTAATTTTATATACTTATATTTGGTTTTTTTACTATCTTGTAATGGTAACATTAAGTCCATACTCTTGTAAGTGTATGTTAGGAGGCTTTATTAATTATGACAACATATAGGGAATGGTAAAAGTGGAACCCTATACACAAAGGTCCCAGTTCCAAGTAATTTGATGTTGCTATGATAGAGCAAACAATGCACATGCTGTGTATTCTTAGAATAAAGCTTTAGGCGAACCTGTACCCTACAACTATGCACCCCATCCCCAAGTATTGTTGTACCCATATTAACAATTAGCATTTAGCCATGAATTTAATTCTTTGCTCTCACTGACCTAACCCTTCCGACCGAAAGTTTCATTTGCTTGAGGCAGTTATCTCTGAAGTTATTCTATGTACTCTTGCAGGACGCAGAAGATGTACTTGCTCCCTGATCTGGAGATCGATGTATTTGAGCGACACACGGAGAGACCTGCCTTAGTTATTAGATCAAAGTAAAATCTAAAGCACACAGAAGAGCTGAGTATCTTAAATTATTCACATCCTCTTATCCAAATTCCAGCCTGTCTTCACAATCAGCAAATAAAACAAATGTCCCTTTTGTGTCATAGGGCTCCTTCATCAAGACAGAGAGTAAGCAATCACTCTCATCCTAGATGTTCCTTCATTGGTGCCTATCCTATGCTGTCTCTTTCAGTTCATTCTTTAAAAGCCATGAAAACATATGGGGTCTCAAACTATTGAAGCAGTTTGATAAAATGGATGAGTATATTTCATTTAGCACCCATAATGAGGGCAGGAAGCTGACCTGAGATGGTTTTATTGAAAGGTATCAAAGAAACCTTTGTCCCGTACTCATGGGACATGGGCATTGCTGGCTGGCCAGCATTTATTTCCCATCCTTAATTGCCCTTGAGAAGGTGGTGGTGAGCTGCTTCTTGACCTACTGCAGTTCCTACACTGCAGGTGGACCCACAATGACCTTAAGGGAGGGAATTCCAGGATTTTTGACCCAGCGACAGTGAAATAATGATGATATATTTCAAAATCAAGATAGTGAGTGAAACTTGCAGGTGGTGGTTTCCAATGTATCTGCTGCCCTTGTCCTTCAGTGGTAGTGGGTTTGGAAGGTGCTATCTCAGGATCTGGAAGAGTACTGAGGTTAGGAAATGCTGAAAAGAGAGAAATTGCTAGCAAAGGCTCTGTGTTGGTAGAATTTGCACAGAAGCTTTGATTGAACTTCATTCAAATGGTAGTATCTGCACAGGAGTTGTGAATGAGCCAAATTTGTGCTGGAAATATCCATGCAAGAGCTGAAGAAGGTCCATGCTGGTAGTATCTGTGCTGAGTATGAAACAACCTTTTAAAAATGCAGTCAAGAGAGGTGAAGAAGGAAAAGGACTGCAAAATTTCATTAGTGATTGGAGGGATTACCAGGTTTATAGCAAAATTACAGCCAAAATATATTGAAGAGGATGCTGAGAGGAATC